TTGGCCGGTGATCGGGCGGAGATCGTCGTGCCCAGTTACACGGGCAGCTTGACCGGAAAGTCTGCTAAATGATTTAATGGGTTTTAAAGCCTACGGAGAGGTGCAGGTTGCGTGTGTTGTAATAAAGCCCTCTTTCTGGAACCTGGGTGTAGGAGCGTAGTTCTTCCGAAGTTAAGGCTAAAACCTACAGTGTGAAGGAGCTGTGTGTCCCAGTGGCCTTACCAGCGGGGGCACAGCAGCGCTATTGGCTCTACAAGCTGGTTTTGTGATCTACAATGCGAACTTGCTGGTAACTGACAGCTCCTTAGGAAGTTGTTCCATTTAGATGCTTGCCAGCCAGCGGCAGGGGGTTTTTTTTCCCTGTTCAACAGCCACACTTCTTACAGCAAAACACCTTCCTTTGTCCTGAGGTAGTCCGGCTGGTCAGTATGCTGATAAGTTTTGCCTAAATTTTAGTCCTTTAAAAGTGTTCATCTTTTGGAAGGATATCCACACTTCATCATGCTTCCTAGTATGTCTGTTGAAATGGAATAATAGATGCCTCCAAAACAATCCAGAAAAAAAAGGAGAATGTTTTCTGTTGTGTCAGACTGAGGCTAGGAGTGGAAGAGACACTTGGTGTAATTCCAAGTTTAATAATTGCAGATAACTTACTATCCTAATATTTTTAATTATCACACAGGAAATGTAAGTATGATAGTATTGCTAAATATTGTTGCTTGCTTAAACTTAAATATCTTCAGAGCCAATTTCACAAATATTTTTGGAAGTTCACTTTTCTAAGGAACTGTCTCTGTGGGTATGCGGCAGCTCGCCTAACTAGAAATGTTTGTTGGACTGGCCTCACTTAGCCTTCTATTTCTATCATTTTTTCTCTACCATTTTGATGCGCTCACCTCAAGTTAAGTCCTCCAAAAAGGTGATCAGTTTTTGTCAGAGCCAGCTTGCCGAAATGCTTTACTACCTGTTTGTGCAGGCACCGGTTCAAACATAGGCAAAGAGTGAATGGACCCTGCAGCCAGGAGTGGAGATGAGGGATAGGGAGATGGTATCTGCTCAAATGTAACTTTACAGCCATGTAAACTAGCCTACCTGATCTCTCTTGGTGGTAGATGTAGAAACAAAAAATCCACCAAAAATTAGGCAAGAGAAGGAGTAAATTCTAGCAAAGTGTGCGATTTTCATGAGATACTTACTACTGAATAAATCCGAGTAACAGTGCCACAAATTCTGTGCTTTTAAAAAGGCATGCGGACTTGTGCAAGTTTTCAAAAGTGCGGAGGTTTTTTTTGGGTGGGACTGACGTGCTTGCTTACGGACTCATCAGCAGCACAGGTCTATAGGATAGGAGTATGCATTAAGCACTGCAACAGCGTTGTTTTTTAAGCAACGATTAAATGTCATTCTAGTGGGTTTTTTTATCTGATAAGTATATTTTGTCATTGATTTGTGTGTATCCCAGCTGCTCCTCAATCAAATGCTCAAATTAAAATTATTGGCTTGGTGTAATTACCTAAGTTATATAAGTTTGGTTTGCATTCTCTTAGGTTGTAGATATATGTGATCTTAGGAGCTTGAAATCAAGGTTTTGTGTTTAAAACATGGTTCTCTTACATTTGCTGTTTTTTCTAGCGTTTTTTCAGTATGCCCATTCTCTCTTGGGGAAGGGACAAAGTTTATTGGTTCAAGGTTTTGCTTAAAGGAGGATATAACAGTTTGAACAGCTCAATGAGATTCTGGAATTCTCTCTTTCC